GACAAGAAGCAGCTGATGAGCTGTCTCGAAATTTGTTGATATCAATGAATTCCGCTGTTTTTGCCTGTTTTCAATTTGTACCGGGAAAAACTGCTTCAAATTTCTTAACTTACAATCATTCATTAGAAATTAGGAATCTTTGTCGATACATGCAAACCGATCTCTTGTTAATAAGAGCATATTAGTAAATTACACCCAGGCCGTGAGATAAATCTTCTATTTAACTTGTCGGAAGGTAGCATGAGACACTTTGATTAAGTTCTCCTATATTGTATTGATCTAAGATTAATTTAACGGTTAAAAGTTACGTTACAACAGTTCGGTAAGTGCTATTTTTGTTATGCAAGTAGTAATTCATTATATTAAAAAACCCTCTCTATTTGCTAATCAAGCAAATTCTGTATTTATTGACGCAGATTCATCTATTCCAAGGTCGTGCTGTAAGCCTGGGAACATGTCAAGAGTAGGCAAGACTAACCTAAGTGCAGCAGCGAAAATGACAGACAGAAAGAGACCCCGCAGGACGGGGATGTTTTCGAAAAGCTTCAGCACGAGGAATGGTAAGAGCATATCATAGCGCGGAATTTCGTCACTCCGTCGGGGGTCACATCCGCGAAAATAGACGTAGGAGACAAGACCGATAGCGACATGTAGAACAGCAAATAGGACCACAATTGGAATATTCAGTAAGATTGCTCTTTGAATTGGGGAGAAAATCATAAGTGGTGGATTTATAATGAGCATTCGAAATATACTTTTATTAAATTTCAACTTGTACTGGTCATTTCTGCAAATCACATGGCCTTATTAACGATGGCATGGACGTACGTCTGCTATCAATAATATATTCAACGGTCATTGTCAAACAACTTATGTAAAATCCTAAATATAACTTGTCCTTTGTACTTGGGCCGCGAAACGGAAAAAGCCTTTCGTATACGAATGTCAGCATGCAAAAAAAGCAGCTAAGTATGATATTACGCAGATTTATGCACGACTTTAGTACGGTTTATATAACTTGTCAGTAGTAATGTATGTAACAACAAGGTCTTACCTTTTCGCAGTTTTCAGTGTCTTACAAGAAAGATATCGCTGAACTTGACCCTGATTTGATGCTTGGGTTGATATGAAAGCCCCAACGGAACCGATTGCTAAACTCCAAAATGTGTACCGAGTAAAAAGGTCTGCACTAAAACTTTAAGATATAAAAAAATGTGTGTTGATTTAAAAAATAAAAACTGTCATATTGGGTTTATTTCTAAAGGAAAAATATGTATGTTTCATATTAGCATGCGCGTGCTATGTGGCCACTAAAAGCAAACATCTCACGTAGAAAGTGTTTTGTTTGTTGGAGTGGAATTACTATCGTTAGAGGGAATTTATTGGTATTTTAACATTTGGATGGTTGCATCGAAGATAACAACAAACAAATTATCTGCAAGTTAGAACACTACAAGCACACCGTCACACACCCTATCGCAAACAGTTTCCTTGAAATGTGTTATGTGTAGGTGCTTTTGAAACAGTAGTGTACTATCACATGGACATATGAAATTATGTCCTGTATTACAGTACAAAACAACGATTGACCTGCCATTTCTTACACTTGATTCGATTTGTTACGAATAAATGGCATACCTGGCCTCAGTGAGTCGACTTATCCTTGTCTAGAAATCGCCGCTTTTGCACATTTTATTAAAATTAACCACAAATCGATCGTAATTTAAACCAATTTCGATACCCTCTGAATTTAGACAATGCTTCTTAAACAGTTGTTTATGTCGACAGTTTTTTTTAAATACGCTCAAGTGAAAAGATGTTGGTTTTCAGCACTCGATAAACTGTTTTACTAAGCCTATTCTTCTAAGTGAATATAAAAGCAGCGATGGGGTGTCAGGTGTCAACACTGTTAGCAGGATGACCGTGTAGGCATAATATAGGCGCCTTTGAAGATAATTAAGGACGTGTTTATGTCTGGATGAAGACAGCTGCGCGATGAAGCGTCTGAGCGCAAATTAAACAAAACAGGTATAATTATAAATGGACTGCAATTTTGAGCGCATTATCAAAGTTATATCAAAAATTATTTATCATCAGCCAGAATTTTACAAACTTATACGCATATATGGCTGAGCGACAGCTAGTCAAACATTTGTAAAACCCACGATTCCTTACCTAAGTTGATCTATTTTTCCATCATTCAGGGCAGTATTCCACATTGTAACGGGACCGTCGACTGCAATCAAGCCAAAGATCAGGAGCAGTAGCATCCCTTCGAACATAATGATCATCTGAATTAGATCTGTCCAGACCACGCCTTTTAGACCGCCCTAGAAATGCAAAAAGAGTTTGATGTCATCACGATAATCAAAGGGTTAATAAGTTTTAACATCTGCTAATTTTTCTTTCGCACCCCATTAGTGGTGCATGACTGACAACTCACAGTAGTTCCCGAAAATCACGCAACATGCCGACATATGAGAAAGATTGATACGCTTCTACTATTTGGCATTTGCTCAGGTTTGATATTGATAATCATATAGTCTATTTTGAAGTCATTTCAGCCGTGATAGGATGAGAGCTTTTTAAGGAGCTTCGTTCTGACCACT